AGGAGGAATTTGAGGACGTCTCCGGCCGTGACCGCTTTGTATTGTCGACCATTAAAGAAATCATCCGCGCACCTCAAGAAGAGCCGCCTGCAAAGCCTAGGACAAAGGCTCGTGGACGGCCAAAATCCAAGGCTGTGCGAGAAGTCGAAGTCGTCGAGCCTGAAGAGTGGGAGCTGAACCCCGGTGTTGTCAACGCTGAGGTCATCTTGTGGGAGCCTGAGCACGAGACGAATCCTCCTGGAGACGAAGAACCAGTCGAGGTTATGGAGGATAGGGTCGCTATATCGGGTGAAGCTGTTCAGACCCGTATTGTTCAAAACGTATCTTTCCGCATGGCCAAGACACTCACTACCCCTTTCATGGGTGCCGGTGTTGTTGATCTACCTGCTGGCTCTGAGAAGAGGCCAAAGAACTCGCGAAAGATGCACATGGTCTTCTTTGTACATACTGGAAAGGTACTTGTCACTGTCAACGAGGCTTCGTTCCGACTCAGTGCCGGAGGCATGTGGTTTGTTCCCAGAGGTATGTCAACTTGCTTGCCCCCTTTTTTTCCCTCACACGGCTGAGTGACTAACTGTATGGATTAGGAAACTACTACAGCATAACAAACGATTACGATACAGATTCTCGCATATTCTTCACTCAAGGATGTGAAATATCAGCTCAACCAGCAGAACCCGATCAATCACAAATGTCCATGATGGCTTAGGACTAATTAATATAGTGAAGACTGTGGGATATCAATGGTGAACTACTGTCACTTTGTTTGATCATGACACAGACGACGAGTGTACTTTTTTTAAGCAACTGTTTACTTGGGAGCATCCTTGGAAGAAAAAGCATGAATACGGGGGTTCATTATGTCGGATTTACCTTGAAGGAGACGCCCGTTGACCGACCGGCTTCATGATTTATGTTCGATCAGGGGCTTGTTTATTTGTATACCATTCATGACAGATGAAATTCAATTTTACTGCAAGATTCTTGTAACCATACCTAAAGCGTAATACCACCACTGCACTATGATGAGAATACAAGTATTGTTCATGAGCACCTTTCCGAGTCTTGGAAAATTATAGTAGACTTGAATAAATTCCAGATATTCTTATTCGATTATAGTATAACAGTAGTTAGAGAGGAGCTATTATTTATCAAGAAAATCCTTCCTAAGCATATGCGGCCCAAGATTAAAACTCCTCGCTAAGAAGCTTCTTCAAAATGGTCATTTCCTTGTCCCATTTAGTGATCTTGGCTTGGCTATCTTCCAGTTTGCGGAGCAAGAAGTTAATACGTCCTGTTGTCTCTGCTGTCTGGCGAGGCAAGCTGCCCAGAAGAGACAATTCGTTTTCAACCTTCTCGATTGAGCGAGCTTCGGCCTTGGACGAATCGTTGAGAACATCATAGTCCATCTTGGCTCTAAGGACGCGGTCCTGTAGAAGGACCGAAAAGGCAGCTTGGTGCAGAGGCTTGCTAGCTGTGATTGTCATGGGTCGACCCTGGTGCGTCTTAACCGCGATGAGCTCGGCGCTGACGAGGCTATCAATGGCGGCATCGGCGTTCGAGGCTGCCGCGGGTGCTGCAGAGGAGAATGGCGCAGAGAGTGTCACTTCGTTATAACGTAGGTTGGGTGTTTGAGCTAGCGACTTGATAAGATGCCAAGCCTGTTGAGAAGAGAATTTCTTGTCCTCAATCTCCGAAGACTTGCCAAGAAGGTAGATACGAACAATGTCAGTAGCTGTCTCGGAAACGATCTCTTCCATAGCTTGTTTGGGAGATTGCCCAGTTCGTAGGCGCCGGGCGAGGAACTCCAAATCTGTGAGACGGCCACCAAGAGTGTCGATACACTGGTCAAGCTCAAACATGTTTGGGCGTGGGATAGGAGATTTTTCAGTTTCTTCATCTCCTTGCTCCTTTCGTGCTTTCTCTTCAGCGGCGAGTTGATCCTTGAGCCGGCTGAGAACAAAGTTCTTTGCTACCTCGGGCGCTAAATCACCAAGGGAAACAGTACGGAAGAGTCGGTCGGGCAGTGCTTTATCCAGGGGTTTCGAATAGGCTGAGTCAGTAGTAAGGAAAATGACATGGGCGACGTTGTTTTGCACGACAGTCGCTGCCCACTCAGCTATCTTGTCGTAGATGATGCTGTTTTCCTCACCCTTGTGGAGGAAATTATCAATGACGACAACAGGTCTACGCTCAGGATGAGCTTCCAGCCAAGCATCCTCAGACAGCTTGTAGTCGCTATCTTTCTTGTTACGAGAGCCAACAGCAACATCTTTGAGGGCGCCAGTAGTGGTCTGCATGATCTTAGTCAACTGAGACTCGAGAGTTTCTGAGAAGCCAGCTTTGACTCCCGTTGTGCTCTGAACAGCAAGATCGATCATACTGCTCATGCTGTTGGCCCATGAGAATACGGGACGGTAGCCAACGGCTGTAGCAAGACGTTTGATGGTGCCCGCCTCACCCCTGGCCTCGACAATGCGTCTGCAGTCGATCTTGAGCACGTTCTTTCGGCCTTCCAAAGCTTGATCCATGACCATCTCAACCTTTCCCGAACCCTTGGGTCCAGTAACAACGATGAATGTGTCTGATGTTTCATCGAGCCAGCCTTGCACTTTGTCAATCGCATCTCGTCGGTGATTCCAGACTTCCTCGAGGCCATCTCCCATTGGTTTGGTTGATAAGCCAAAGTTACCAGACTGTTTCTTGAACCATTTGTAGATTCGAGAATCCTTAAACTCTAGAGAATGCTGAATATGAAGCTTGATGAAGAATTCCCGAATAGGGTCGAAAATCAGAACCGACAGACCAGCTACGAGAGCAGCAAAAACGGGTATCACAATACGTGGATGGTTTGTCAACCAATTCCAGATACTATGAGCCTTGACACGTTTCTCGAAGGACAGACGAAGTTTAGTTCCATTCTTGCCACCTCCCAAGACCTCGTTGACAATGAACCCATGCATACAGTTGCGAGCCATAATTGCGTCTCTTGTTACAGGAAACATGACATGGGCATATCGTGGCGTGACCTTTGAGTCGGTTGGCTGTGGTATAATGTCTGCGATTTTTCCATATTTGCGGAACAAAGAGTACAGCGTCTCTTCGGGGAGCTCTTCGGGGGTGTTGCCGGGGGTTGGAGGAACAAATTCGATTTTGATGAAACTGGTAGGGTATCTGTACAGATCTTCTAACCACGGCGTGCCCTGTACGAGACGAGCGTTGACGGGACGGAAGATGGAGAACCAAGGTTTTATGGGCTTTTCTTTCAGTCGACTTGCTAATTGAGCTGATAGACGAACTGAGTCAGCAAATGCGTAAGGTGAGTTCCGATACGCGAAACGTACCTTCAATTTCGGCAGGGTCTATGTTGGAGTCATGCATGAATTTGACATATGCACCTCCATCCTTGAGTCGCGGTAAGATCTCGGTCACTTTTATTGGTAGGTCTTCTGGAATGGCTGTCTTCACAAGGCGAATTGGGTCAAGAATGCCTAAAGAGGATGATTCGAAGCGCCTGAGTAAATCCGATACATCGTTGTCCGACTTCCAAGGACGCATGAGAACGCTACTGAGTTTGAGAGGGAAGATATCTGAGTTCCATGTCAGCTGACAAGCAGGCGATGGTTCGTTTATGAGGAGACTCACTATCGAAAAAGAGAATGGCCTCATTGGATTGTGTAGTGATATGACCACTCTTGTCAGCACCTTCTTCGGATGCAATTGGGGGAATCGCATCCTCGGGGTTGGCGACTGTGCTCTCCCACACACGACTCACGGGTCGATTTATCGCATTTTGGCCGAGTCGTTGTCGAAAAGAAGCTGCTGCAAAGCCACATCCGAGGGATCTCGATGATATGAGGGGTCGGCGGGCTGCGAAAAGTGCCGCCGTTGCAAGACCTCGGCTTGGAATCATGATACTTCGATCCTAACAGCGCGCATACTGCAACAAGTCAGGTTGTGAGAGTAAGAGAATTCTCAAGTGTGAAGAGATCGAGTTTGTTAATCAGGGTAAAGAATTGTTGGTAGGGCTAGCTTGGAGCTGTCGCGTTGCAGCTACCTTAGCTTCCTCCAATGAGGTCATAAGTTTAGAATGGCAGTTGAGTCTGGGCCTGGACTGCCTTGAGATGAAGAGCTACTTAGAAACACGTTGAAGTCTAAAAATGAATTTATGAATCACTATCATTCCCTGAGATTCAATCTAGTATTTAATCATACTATTGCGATAGAGATATAGTTGGGCTTATACCTCAAAAGAAGTTTTTGTTTCCTTTTTGGCCAGCAGCTGAAATGCGAATGACTACCCATGTGAAGATCAACCCCACCAAGCAATTTATGATCCGATCCATGATATGGAGAGATCACGATGATGCTTCAATTACCTCACAAAACCCGCTCATGAGGAATTCTATTTAATTATGAATATTCCAGAATGACTAAGAGAGTGACTATTTCGAGCTTCCTGTTCGTAGGAGTCTTTGTTAACCTCGCATCAGAAGACAGTTGGTGGCTGCGTAGAGAAACACATGAAACCCGGCTATCAGGGCAGACATCAACCTTCACGTACATATGTTAGACCACAGCATGATAGTTAGGTCTAGAAAACAGTATACTGCGGCTTAGAATATCGCATTGATTCTTATTCTAGAAAAATCATGATATGATAACTCTGAAGTCTATTGTTGGGCAGATCTTGTCGGGAATACGGCAGATCTATTTTTCCTCGGCATCCCTCTCAGCGTCGCATTTCATCACCCAAATCTCCAATATCCAGAACAATCTGCGCTCCACCAAGACTCAAGTCGAATTGTATCGCTTCAACAACTTCAATTGGACAGTCGGTTCTCTAACTATCAACCAAGATTCTGGCTTCAACCGCGCCACTCCTTTGCGACATCAACACTACCCCTTCCATATCCACCAATTTCTGAGCTTATTCGCATCAACCATCACGAGACTCAAACGAGATATTCAGTAGAATCTACCGTTTATAAAACGTCGCAATGGGTTGGCTATGGTCTTCAACACCTCCCAGCGACGGAAAGTCAGCTGCTCTTGTCAAAGAGACTCCTCCTATCGCATCAACATCAACAACCACAGCCACAACTTCAGATCCTTCAACATCAGCCCCATCCAATTCAAATATCGATCCCGAAATCCAAAAGTTCATCGACCTATTTGAAGCTGAGAAGAACGTAAAACCCTCTGCAACAGAAGACCAACAAGAACAAAACTCTTCCTCTTCCAAATTACCATCGTGGCTCTCTCTCAAGAAATCGACACGCTCATCCACCCCTAAGCCCGCCGATATTCCTCCCCGCGACGCCCTCTCCGAAGCCCTGCTCCCTACTGACATGTCCTGTCGTCAGGCCTTCGACCAAGCATGGGCATGCAATTCGATGGGTGGACAGTTCAATGCCGTGTATCGCTACGGTGAGATGCGGTCATGCAGTGAGCATTGGGATGACTTCTGGTTCTGCATGCGCACCAAGAGTTACTCTCCTGAGATGCGGGAGAAGGCTATCAGGGATTATTATCGTGCGAAAGAGTTCAAAAAGTATGGCCCTGGCAAACCGAGTAGTGAAGATGTCTGGGAGAGTAGAGAGGACAAGGTTCCAGAAGGGGCAGTATTTAATGAGCCTGTTGAGCCACGAAATTGATCAACTTGATCTTGTATTAATAGAGAACTTCCAATCCCGTAACCAAGATCTGTAATCATCCTCGGCTGGCAAAGATTGTGACCCTTTCCTGAGAGTATGTGGTCCGAATCCCACGGGCCATTCAGAAATTTGTCTACTTAACACACCAATGGTACTTTATGATAGGTGTCTGAAGTAGATAATAACTTCTTCATCAGTAAAAATACTGTCTTCAGATCCTCCTTGGACATGAACTTGATTAGTTACGGAGGTAGGAAATGTTGTATGGGAAGCCTAAGTTTCTGAGAACCAGGACTGCAAGAGGTGAATGCTGCATCACTGATCAATCACAAGCAACCACAAACATATCACAAAACAAGAGGGAAAAGTAATTATCCACGCAAGAGGCAAAGTAGTTATTGTGAATATCTTGATTCATCGATTCATTAAAATACATTGGTAAAAACCACCGAGCTTTTCATAACCGTGAAAGTCGCAAAAACAAAACAGAAAAGTCTAATCTCATCATATCATCCCTTAAGACCCCTAGCCTCCGCATTGCACCAATGGACACATGACAACTCTAGAAGTCGAGACTGATATTGTTGGGGTATCAAAGAATTTAGTCGACCTCCTCGACGGTGGGACCATCGTCACCACCAGCACCGGGAGCACCACCAGGGCCGCCAGCACCAGGGAAGCCACCGGGACCACCAGGCATGCCAGGCATACCACCAGGAGCACCCTCACCACCAGCTCCGTAGAACTTCATCATGATGGGGTTGGCCTTGCCCTCAAGCTCCTTTTGGTGCTCCTCATACTCCTCACGAGTGGCTTGCTGGTTGTCGTCGAGCCACTGGACAACCTTGTCGATCTCGGCAGTGAGAGTCTCCTTGTCACTGGCCTCAATCTTCTCCTCGACCTTGGGGTCGGAGAGAGTGTTGCGAAGAGAGTAGGCGTAAGACTCAAGACCGTTCTTGGCAGCGACACGCTTGCCCTCGGCCTCATCCTCCTCCTTGTACTTCTCAGCATCGCTGAGCATGCGCTCGATCTCCTCCTTGGACAGGCGGCCCTTGTCATTGGTAATGACAATCTTGTTGGACTTGCCAGTGCCCTTCTCGACGGCGGAGACGTTCATGATACCGTTGGCATCAAGATCGAAGGTAACCTCAATCTGGGGAACACCACGAGGGGCAGGGGGGATACCAGTGAGCTCGAACTTGCCCATAAGGTTGTTGTCCTTGGTGCGTTGACGCTCACCCTCGTAGACTTGGATAAGAACACCAGGCTGGTTGTCGGAGAAGGTGGAGAAGACCTCGGACTTCTTAGTGGGGATGGTGGTGTTGCGGGGGATAAGCTTGGTCATCATGCCACCAGCGGTCTCGATACCGAGAGAGAGAGGGGCAACATCGAGAAGCAAGATCTCGTTGGTGGCCTTGCTGGAGGTGTCACCGGAGAGAATCGCGGCCTGGACGGCGGCACCGTAAGCAACAGCCTCATCAGGGTTGATGGACTTGTTGGGCTCCTTTCCGTTGAAGTAGTCGGTAATGAGCTTCTGGACACGGGGGATACGGGTAGAGCCACCGACGAGGACAATCTCGTGGACAAGGGACTTGTCGATCTTGGCGTCGGTGAGGACACGGTCGACGGGCTGGATTGTGGATCGGAAGAGATCCTGGCAGAGCTCCTCGAAACGAGCACGGGTGATAGAGGTGTAGAAGTCAATACCCTCGAAGAGAGAGTCGATCTCGATAGAGGTCTGAGCAGAAGAAGAAAGTGTTCGCTTGGCACGCTCGCAAGCAGTTCGGAGACGTCGCAGAGCGCGGACGTTGGTGCTAAGATCCTTCTGTAGAATGAGTTAGTGTGAGTTCTTGAAGATTTGATCATAGGCAGGGGTGCGACGTGGGGTATTTTTGAGTGGGGTCTTCTAAGTTTATGGAGAGTTTATGATAGAGAGGTCAAGTTTTGACAACCTCATCAAAAATCGCCAAAACTTATGATGTGCTTTGGAGAGAGCAAGAATAAAATGGGAAGGGATTTGAACTTGCCTTGTGTTTACGCTTGAACTCATTAACGAAGTGGTTGACCAGACGGTTGTCAAAGTCCTCACCACCCAAGTGAGTGTCACCGGCGGTAGACTTGACCTCGAAGATACCCTCCTCAATGGTAAGGAGAGATACATCGAAGGTACCACCACCAAGATCGAAGATCAGAACGTTGCGCTCGCCCTCAACCTTCTTGTCAAGACCGTAGGCAATGGCGGCAGCAGTAGGCTCGTTGATGATTCGGAGAACGTTAAGACCGGCGATGAGACCAGCATCCTTGGTGGCTTGACGCTGAGAATCGTTGAAATAGGCAGGGACAGTAACAACAGCGTTGTTGACAGTCTCGCCAAGGTAAGACTCAGCGGTCTCGCGCATCTTGGTGAGGATCATAGCAGAGATCTCCTCGGGGCTGAAGGTCTTGGTCTCGCCCTTGAACTCGACCTCGATGATGGGCTTGCCACCCTTGTCGACGATCTTGAAGGGGAAATGCTTCATATCGGCCTGAACCTCAGCATCGGCGAACTTGCGACCGATCAATCGCTTGGCGTCGAAGACAGTGTTCTGAGGGTTCATAGCGACTTGGTTCTTGGCGGCATCACCAATCAGACGCTCGGTGTCGGTGAAACCGACGAATGAGGGGGTAGTTCGGTTACCCTGGTCGTTGGCGATGATATCACATCTGGGGAAAGAGTTAGTGTCATGCTCCTAAGGCAACTCATAATGATATATTTGGTATAAAACTTACCGGTCCTCACGGAAGATACCCACGCAAGAGTACGTGGTACCCAAATCGATACCGACGGCGGGAGCCATTTTGTGTGATGTGTGTGATGTGGTGTGTAGAATGCGTGAAGATTATGTCGTAGAGTAGGAAGAAAAAGGAAAAGAAAAATCGCAGTTGCTTCAATGGAGGGTCGTGGTTATTTGAAGACTTTTGAGAGGGTATTTGAGAGTGATGATGTTGTGAGAAAGAAAGACGGAACAGAGCAAGTTGAGCAAAAGGATCTAAATAAAGGCGGGTGCCAAGGTTCGATGCGGTTCTGTGCTGTTCCAAAGGAGCCCACTTTGGAGAGCTTCTCTGGTGTTGCAGGGGGGTCTACCACTTTCTGGGCGCTGCTAGGCGTTGCTGGGGGGCGTGCTTTGGAGGGGCGAGGGGTCTGAAGAAGCGTCTAGCAGCTGCGTGCACCTGGTAGACAGGCAGATCTGGGTTCGCCCCACTAAAAAACTGCGTCTCCCAAACGATGCGCAACCTGAGATGGATCTTTGATTGCTTCTGGCTGATTCCTGATGAGGTATCAAGACACAAGAGCTCATCGTGTTTATTCCCGTAGCTTCGGCCTCTTCTCTCTAGATCTCACAGCTTACCCTGGCACCCCGTGTCTTGTGCCTGATTGTCCTGTCCTCTCATCTTACTGATGTCATGTCCTCATAAACTTTTTGCTTCCCAAATCTTCCAGCGCGGGGCATCCGGGCAGGGATTAGAGCTTCATGTCCTGACTACATTTCTCAAAGTTCTGGGCACCACCCAAACGTCCGTACTGACTACTTTGCCCCACCAATCGGACTCATGTTGGACGGGTAGCTCCCTCTTCGTGCCCCTCCTCAGACGGCGCTCCCTCATCTTCTGTCGCTCTTCTCTCCCTGGGGTTTAGCACCGCGAAAACTCTAGGTTGCCTCTTCATGAAGCGTCATAACAGAATCCGATCAATTTTGTGGCAATCACTGGGAAAACTCTGATAATCGAGACTTTGACAACTCAATAAACCGACTTTGTCAGAAATTATGCGCGGTCAAGTTGTCACGGTATCCAACAGCGGATGTCCATGTGTTGGCTACCGCTACTTGAGTCAGCTCAATTGATTGGATTGCACAGCGTGTATTCGCGATGGCAGGCCTACTTTCTTGCTTGGTGATGCTTCAATAGTGGTCCACGTATCTACAGTAGTATCATACATTTTATCTTATCACAATGCCATGGCCTTCTATTGAATACATCAATCGCATGGTGTTTCTCAGTCAGATGTCTACCTCTCCAGCATCCAGAGTGACCAATGCTGACTGCCCTGTCTCTCTATCTCGATCGTAGACTAGTCTATCAGGCTGAAATCGACATGGCCTTGTACCTACCAGCCAACGTTGAAGCTCAATTGCTCGCGGTATGTCGATAACTGTGATGAAAGCATATGATCTTTACGCAGTTGACCCCGTTATTTTTTCTCCGTGTGGATCCAAATCTCCAAACTCTTCCTCTGTTGTCTTCCCTTTCCGTCGCCTCCATCCTTTCAACAAAGTGAGCAAACTGACTTCGTCTTCCTAGCGCTTCCACGGCCCTCTGCGCATCCACTTGGGGCACGCAAGACCCCAGGGCTGAGGCGTGGCGTAGGATTCGATGGCCCCTCTGCCTAGTTAGCTGCACATCTGGGCATGTTGGTTGTCAGGCAACCGGTACGACCCCTGAGGCCCATTTGAAGCTATTGCATGTGTAATCAGTCTCGTCGTTGGGCTTTGGGTTTCACAGCGGCAGCCTCATCAAGGCACCAACTGTACCTTACAGCGTAGGTAGGTACAGCTGGTATACCGACAGGTTGCTCAGAGCACAACAGCTCATCCAGGCAGGGCAATCGTGGTTCCAATTGTGTTTCCAATCGCCTCATTTCAATGTCTTTCTCATTCTTTTGCCTTCTCTAACTATGGGTCAGTTGCCTCTCGGCTTCTGGACTCGCTTGGAGGCGACCCCAAACAATTGGATCGTATGTGGGGTTCCATGTCGTGATTAGGTAGCTCCATCGAGAAACCGGCTTGTCTGTGTGCATGGTTAGCTGGATCCTCGCTTCTGACTTGCATTTACCCTGGAGCTTTCAACACCCGATTAATGACATTTAGTCAGCTTTATGACGAAAGACATCCTCAGGTCTCCTGATTTTCCTGTGATAGATCGAGATGTGACGGATAGACTTTAGTTGTTGCTGTAATATTCGGTTCGACTCTTTTCGAACGTTTCTTCAGGCTGCAACTATCCTAGATGTCTAATATAACGCCTTTGCCGTGACACTATTAGATGTATGTTCAGAGTCCACTATTCAACGTCAAGGAACGGCAAAACTGAACTGAACCTGGAGATCTAAGCTTAACTTAGTCTTTGCTAAAAGCTAACTTATCGTGGTAAACTACCATCAAGCTCTTGAACCGCTGCACCAGACGCAATCACACGTTGGAACAGTGATGGCATATGTAATGCAACTGGTATAAGTCTCGAAAGCTCTACTCTAAATATACTACCTACACCATCCCCCGCACGTCAAGATCCATCTAAAACACATAGTCTTCCCGTCCCCTGTCGGTGCTTGCTAGGTAAGAGTGTCCAATGGGGGGAGAGCTCTTGTGAGACTACCCATAGACTGAGGTATCTATGTGGTTCTTGTCTATTCACTTCGCTTAATGGCCAGGCTATTATTGCCTTGCAATGAACCCCGGCAGATCGTGTTCTTCGATCATAAGCATTGACTTATCCGCCATCCTCGAACTTGTCTCGGTTGCTGATCCACCCAAGAAACCATTCCATATCTTCTGCATTACGTTATCTGTGCTCAACAACTTACTTCCTTTCAAAGCCTCCTCATCCTTTTCGCCTACCACCAGCAGGACCTTCTGAGCGGCAGGAAAGCCATCGACAACGTGCCACAAGCATCCAAACACCTGATCACTTTCCTGCTCCGCGTAGCCGAGCTCCGCGAGTACGCAGGCGAGATGCTTGACCCTGTGGGTATCTTCGCGTCGTAAGAAATACACCATTGCCGAGTTGAAACCGTAGATATCATACGCCTCTAGTTCACCCGCAAGATATACAGCGTCAAGGGCGAAATTGAACCACACGCGCGGCGGTTCAGATACGGGCGTATCTGAAAGAAGCTTGGATATGCGCCAGCCAAAGGCAAGCTCATAATGCTGCAAGGCTAGATATCGCGCCTCGCGGTTGATGTGTAACAATACAGGCACCGATCTTCCACGCGACCGCTGATTTAGCTCATCAAGTCTTTGATCAAGCCGTTCGTCGCGTTGAAGACAGCAGACGACGATGATGCGGGGTTGAATGAGGCATGACCATATTCGTAGACGCAGCTCAGGCGGTAGTTGTGCGAATTGAGGAAATGCGGTGAGAGTGGATGACGAGTTGACTTGTGAGGAGAGACCATCGTGAAAAGTGCGAAACTCGAGCCAAAACGTTGGATTTGGGCTCTGCTCTTCCTCAGTACTGATATCGCTCATATTTGTTGTTGGTTACAAGGGTGTCGGTCAATTGGTTGAAAGAGGTAGACTTTACGATACGATATGAACTGATTATAAGGGATCCAAAAGAATGACAAAGCGAATGATCTGTGATGGTCAGTGGGGTGAAGAGAAGTGAAGAAAAGAGAGTGTTTGTTTTCCAGCAATATTCCTAGATTCAAGGTCAGGCGATTTATCTCCGCGAACTTCCACTATCTATCTCAGCGAATCACTGTTTGGTTTCAAATTGGATCCAGATACGCTCAAGCCGTTGGTGATTCGCGGATATGAACACTCATCCTCGTCTATCGGAACTGCAAAGAAATTTGACTTTAGTACTTACTCATTCGTAAGGCTCTTTAGAGCTCATCCTCAAATATAATTTAGATTTATTCGATTCTCTCCTGACTGAGAGTGATGCTCCTCGGGAACCTCATCTCCCTTACCCCTTCATCAACGATTAAGGTAAAGAACCGTAGTTGAGAGAACCCCAAGACACATTTTTGTATCTATGAAAAAAATGAAAACAAAACACGACATAGGAAAATTTACTAACATGAATCACGTTCTGGAATTGTTTGCAAATACGTCAGTAATGGCTCAAGACACGCAAAGGCACAGGCCTGAACGTTAATGATTGTGTCTAATCCAATTCTATATTCATATATGAAATTCTGAACGCTAAATCATATCCAACTGTAACATCTTCGACGCGCCTCAATCCTCATCTCTCCATACCCTCAGGGCTTATACCTGATGGGAACCCTGCAACGGTCTCGAGACGTTGACGCTTTGATCAGAAGCCGCAGCCTCTGACCATGCTCCACTGTGTGAACTGTTGAGCCTGTATGCATTTTTCTCGATCTTCAACTTTTCCTGACCTCGTACTAGCTTGAGTAGATAAGAACCCTTCACCACGATGTCCGTAGGACCATCCTCTCCAGGGGGACCTTGTCCGAGCTTGACGTTTCCAATGAACCAAGTAATTGGGAATGCCTGATCCTGAATTAGTTCCCATCCAAGATATGAGAAAAACCTGAAGACTTACCAGTGCGACGAGAGGAGTGATGGCAACAAACGCCCAGACAACACCCATCTTGGCTTGGTGAACGGCCTGTTCAATTGCCGCACCACCAGACGAAGAATGTACGCTGCTGAAGTCGCTGTGGGAGTCCAGTCCAGAGGTGTTGTTGAAGACTGTAGACATGATAGTCAAGCCGATAGTACCACCAAAAGGGATGGCAACTGCCATGAGTCCAATGACGGAGGCGCGTAGGTGTCGAAAAAGACCAATGCCGTGAAGTGGCGAAGCCATGAATCGCATACCACTACCACAGCCAACAAGGGCCATCATTCCATAGATGACACTCAGTCTATTCGCGTAGATAGCCCATGCGAGAACGCCCAGACCGACAGCCTCGGTGAGTGTTCCTAGAAATATACAGGGAAACGTCATGCGAGGCCACTTGTTGCACAAGAAGGAGCAGATATATACACCGGCTATCGAGGTATCAGTAGGTATTTTGAGTCAAAAACATCATTATGAA